GATCTTGATCAACACGTTAGGAGTTGGGAGAGAAACTGCGAAAAGCGCCTTTTACTGAGAGCTAATGTCAGGCAGTTATTCCACTACTTCAGGAAGAAATTCAAAAATAGTCCGGTTTTGCCTACTTTATCCGATGAGAACGGCTCTGCCTTGGTGTCGGACTCACAGAAAGCTATAGGATTAGGAAGATTTTTTGCCAGCGTTTTTTCGAGTACCAGTGTGAATACAGACGCAGTGAATATACAAGGAATGCCTCGGATAGGTAGCGCCCTCTCTAATGTCTTCTTCCATCCTGACGACGTGCGCAAGACCCTCGAGGGCTTGGATCCATCCCTTTCAGAAACTTATGATGGAATCCCTCAGATTGTATATAAAAAGTGTGCATCCTCACTATATCAGCCATTAACACACATTTTCAACATCTCTATGCTCTTAGGTGAAGTCCCGAACTTATGGAAAGAGGCTTTAGTCTCCCCTATCCCTAAAGTCTCGGATAGTCAATGTGTTTCTGACTTTCGTCCAGTAAGTATAACACCTACACCGGCAAAGGTGATGGAGAAGATTATCAGGGATAAGATGATAGCTTGGTTGGAAAGGTTCCAAGTGATACCGAAAGAACAACATGGTTTTTTGAGCGGGTCCTCGACGCTGTCTAATTTGTTGGATAGCACGCATGATTGGATTCTAGCACTGAATAGTGGGAAATCTGTGGATATTGTTTTCGTTGACCTATCCAAGGCTTTCGATAAAGTATCTCATCAGAGTTTACTTGCCAAGCTTCATCACCTCGGTGTTACGGGAAGACTCCTTGAATGGCTGAACTCGTATTTGTACGACAGACATATGACCATCAGAGTGCGGCGCAGCTTCTCTGAGAGGCACCACTGTACGACAGACATATGACCATCAGAGTGCGGCGCAGCTTCTCTGAGAGGCACCACTGTAGCAGTGGTGTCCCTCAGGGAGGTGTGCTATCACCACTGCTCTTTCTGATTTATACAATGGACCTGCCCGCTAATGTCAAATCGTCACCTGAGGTGAAAGTCCAGATGTATGCGGATGTTGCTATCACCACTGCTCTTTCTGATTTATACAATGGACCTGCCCGCTAATGTCAAATCGTCACCTGAGGTGAAAGTCCAGATGTATGCGGACGACATAAAACTCTACGCCGCATACGATAGCTCCAATAAAAAGGAGGTGCAAGCAGCACTCCACTCTCTATTACGAGACTAGTAGATTGGGCGGCCGCATGGGGTCTTTCAGTAAATATTAACAAATGCACAGTCCTCCATTTAGGTGCAGACTGAGTATGAAATAAACAGCACTATCTTGTGTAACTGCACATGTGTGAAAGATCTGGGTGTATTACTACAGCCTGACTTAAAGTTTACAGCCCACATTGATAGGGTGGCGAAAAAAGCTTTTGCTGCCCTCAACTATGGAACCCCAGTCTCAAGAAAGAGGTGACCAAATTGGAAAAAGTCCAACGTACTTTTACCAGGTTGGTTTACCTTAGAAACCACCCAGGAACTGCCCCGTGTGATATTCCGGATTATGAAGAACGAATGAAATGGTTAGGGCTGACGAGCTTGAACAAGACGAGGTTAATTAATGACCTCACCCTGGGGTTCCGAATACTCAGACATGAAACCAGGTTGAAACCCAGCAGCTATTGGGTTTTCAAACCGTGCAGTGAGAGATCTGGGAGGTTTGGAATCTATCATCAAAGAATCCATAGGAAATTTCGCTCGCTTACGTACCACTCATACTTCTTTCGCGTGGCTAGGAATTTCGAAAAACTGCCAGCCGAGTTATTCGGATCAGTGGATGGTAAGAAATTTAAGAAAAATTTACCAAGACTTGATATTACCGATCTTATAAGCACTTAACTCTGAAAGAGAATCGAATTGGATACCGCTTCAGTGGACTCCCATCCTTCTGTAACAGCACCCTACGAACAGTGCGGCATGAACACTACTAGCAGATGTTTAGTCCGAGAATGAGGCTTCACTGATTGAATCATCAGTAAAATATCAGTTTCTTGTTTCATGTGCTGACGGTGTAGACGAGATAGTACGAAATTTCACACATCACATTCTTTCACTCTTTAAGTGTTTTCCTTTGTAATTCGCCATTGAGAAAAGGCTGGAATCCTACATATGATATCACGGATTGACATCTGGCTAGTACCTGGCTTACCTGTTCCACGAGGGTGTCGGTATACTCGTGTGCCGAAGTGCAGGCAAGCTCCCCTGTTTCTTTGGGACACCATTGCCGACTGGTGTAGGTATCGGAGTTGTAAGTCGACTACAGTCTATCTGGTTCTCTACTGCAGTCCTAGTCTTCTCTTTCTATGGCCTTGTTTTCTATTTATGGTCTGTTTTCACTTCTGGTATTAATGGTTTTGTGCTAGCTCTACTCGTGAATTAAGGTGATATAGTTGTTCGATATCGCTATCGAGTAACTCACATAGTTATTCGAAGATGACTAGACTGTTCTTATCAATCACAATAACTACTATGTCTCACCCTTTTTTGAGGCGCGTGAAATGACACGCATGAATAAATAAATAAATAAATAAATAAATAAATAGTTATGAGCCCACAACACCGAGACGGGACGAAATCAGCTGCAGCTACATATAACGTGCATAATAAGTACGACATACGTAAGATTTGTTTTGCATAAGTGTACGTACAGCATTGAGCAAACATTTTTCAACCTAATGATGCAGCAGGACTTTTTCTTTACATTTAGTGCTATGCTGTTGAAAGGCGCGCAGTTTCCTAGAGTCTAGAAGGCTTAATCAAGTCGACTCTATGTCATTAAGCGTGTTCTAAGAAAGAGCCGTGCGTAAACATCATGCCTTTATGAACCATCTTGTTATTTATTGTCCACGGTTTTTTAACGCTCACTTCAACAGTGGCTTCATTTCTTCATGTCCACATGAAACAGGTGGCAACCCCAGCGTCTGACTTTACAATGACACGTGTTGATGACGCGATTCTATTCCGCACAATGAACCCCCTCTCTATGGATTAAAATTGTTACATCCTGCTCCAACTGCTGGCAGCCAGCTTGCTAAAGAATTCTGAAGGACGGTAGCAATCTTTAAGTGCACTTATCCCATGTCATTTTCAATGAGCGTAGCTTTGTTTGTGAGAAACTTGAAAATCTCTTCGAGGTAGAGTTCACAAGAATAGCTTCACCACAGTTGTCCTGCTCTGCTCTCAATCTCTCCGCCCGCTTTTGCTCTCCACTTCCTTTTTTGGAGCGAAGTTCGTCGCATCACGGCTTTATCTAAGCCAATCTCATTTTGTTACGGAACACTTTGATACTAGACATTAGAAACGTTTCTCCGAAATTAGTACGCTTTGCCTTATTTCAGAGGTAGACTTGCGCTTGCATTTGCACATACTCTATTCACTTGCATTCGAAGTATTGCATAACTGTTAAAACTCAAAAGGATAGGAGTATTAGTACATTAATGCAGTCGTTGGTAACCTTGTTAGAATGCGACTCTCTTCAGCATCACATTGGCGTAACCCAGCGAGAGTTCAGATTTTTGGAGGATGGACCCTGAGTTCAGTTAGCATGAGAGTACCGACTCATTCAGTCAATGAAATGTTAGTTCTAAAAGTAACATAGAAAGTAATCCGAGAGCGATAATGTTTGCGTGTAACCTTCATTCTGTTCTGTGGTAAAGAAAGAGCAAATGTGGGCGTAGGCTCCAGCAAACCTATCTATTGCAGCTAATCTCATTTGCATATACTATTTTATCCAGACGCAATATACTGGACCAACAGATTGCCCGTTTTTTCCCTAACGACCGCATTTTCACCTTCACTTTTTTTTATAAATATACCACACGGCTTCCCAAACACACGCTTCGAAGAATAAGGATAGCTTCACAGAAAGTATAAACTTTTGTCTGCAATAAAGATGTCGTCGAATTGAGTGCAGCTTTTCTTTCCTTACGACAACAACGTTTTCTACATCTTTCATTAAGGCGTATCCATAGAGCGATTTGGTGTCGGAATTCATGACTTAGTAGCTGGCTATCGATTTGCTATTTTATCACGAAATGACGTTGAGCTGCACAGCAAGGGCTCTCAGATTCTCGTTATTCGTGTTCAACCTCGTTTTTCTGGTGGGTTTGATATGCTTTCATAATATTGCGGAGGATTTCTAGCACGATAGTTGTTCAATAACCAGTAACGGCGCAAAAAGGGATTTGGCTCATGAGTATAATTAGGTCTCAAATTAGTTTTTTGCAACTATGTTCTAAGTACACTTTTTGGGCCGGAGTAGAGCTGCAATGTAGAGCGCTTTTTGGAGTATACTATCTACAGCACCCGCCCTGATGAAATTTCATCCACTCGAAGAACGCGAATTAGCCTTCCTTGCAGTCTTATTATTCGGAGCTGTTCGAAGAGGCTTTTCGAAAATTATCAGATATAGAACTCAACCACTTGGCTCTCTTAAGGCTTAAGAAAAACGTTGAGTCTGTACATGCCTGAGTTAGGACGTTCCATCGATGTTTGAAAAAAAATGGCGATGGATACAATAAGGGGACCCAAACTACAATCAGGGTTCTGCAGGACATGTGACCGACTCGACTGCATGCAAGCTTTCCCTTCGAAGAGGTCTGTGTCGGCCTTACGTCTTACTCTGGCTGATGTACAATACTAATGCTGGACGACAGTGGGTAACGCAGATTCCGTATGCGTGAATCGATTATTATTATTACACTTCCTTTCTCATTGTTACTAGATTACATGTATGTTTGTTCATTTATTCTTCTTCCTTTCACATAAGTTACTATGTCAACATAAAAGGTAACGCGCTCTAATCCTACTATATTAATATTGTTCGACAGGATATCAAATATAAGTTTTTCAGGTAGTAAGTAGTTTTTTGTTAGTTAATCACTTCTTCACATCTGGATTTCTCCTTCTGTTCCGTTGTATAGCTCGTTTCACCCTGTCAGTTGTGATTTTTATTGTTTAGTATAACTTTTACGCTAACACAGTTGCTTTTTGTCAACCCTCATTCACCGATGTGCCTCGGGGTTGACGAGTAACGAAGTGCTTCGGATGAGTGAAATAGCCCGAAAAGAACTACTGAGTAAGTTTCAAATATTACTTGTGCTTCAACTTCTATTTTCCTATTCTAATTGATCATCTGGGTTACCACTGCCGTTCAGCATTAGAATTGTACATCGGCCAGTGGAGGATGTAAAGCCGATCACAGGCTTCGTGGAAGGAAATCTTGCATGCAACCGAGTCGGTCACGAATTTTCTACAGAGCCCTGATTGTATTAGTCCAGGTCCGTTTATTGGAGCCATCCCAATTTTTTGGAAACATCTATGGGACGTCTTAACTCGGGCATGTCCAGACTGTACTTTTTTTCGATGTTCTTAGAGAACCATGTAGTTGAGTTCAAGTAAAGTTAACTTTCGAAAAACCACTTCAAACATCCTTTAAACAATAAACTGGAAGGAGGGCTTAATCGCGTTCTGCAAGTGGATTAGCGAACCAATAGTCACGACATCATGCAGCTATCGCGCAATTGCCACGTAGCGGGACTCACTGGAGGGCATAAGCTCGGATGCCCAAAGTATGTGCTCTTTTGCTTAATCGAACGTGTCCAAAACGTTGTTGGGTATTTCCACGCTTCAAACAAACAGACCTTGGTATACCTACAGTCGTCCCCGCATTTAGGGAATACTATAAAAGCATTTCAAGAAAAAATTTCATGCTCTCTACCTTTTGTCGAACAAGAGAGCAGCCCAAGTCTAGTAAAGGGTGACTGAGGAAAAAGCTTCGCTCCAGATGTGCAAAATTTTGAGCGATTTTCATGGCCTTCAGCAGAAAGCTGCCGAGTTTGTCCATTAGCCCAGATGGTTGTGAATCAGGCCACAACGCCCTTCTCTCATACGCCTGCGGGACGAGCTGGTGCAGGCTTCATATTTTTGATTTTGTTATCATTACTCTCTACTGCTGTTTTCACTTTGTTGTTCTACTGCTGTTATTGTTCTCTTCTTTGTTACGTGACCTATTGCTATGCTCCCTAATTAACTATTTGAATTCTCAGCATACTTGCTCCGTGTGAGTGGTGCAGTCTCTACAAGGTCCTTTGAGAACAGCCACTTCGGTGTGTGGTGCACTAGAAGGCAATTCTTGAGCTTCCTATCTAAACTTTTATTTCTATTCTCGTGGACCACAGATCATTTTGATGGATAGGAGAACGATGCCTGAAATGCACAGGTATGGGGCCCCGTCCGAGGCCGAAGTTTTGTCCATGACTCGCTAAACCCTGTGAGACATCCAAATGGATGTCTTAGGAATCACTTTTTGTTGTGAACTGCGTCTGTAACTGTGGAAAAGTGAGGGCTTCGAATCAACTTGATGAGCTCCACAAGATAGCTCCTTAAAATCAAGAACTGGGCTTGTTTTCGTACTTCTCGTCTCACCTAAGTCTACGATTATAGCCAGAAAGGTGATAGCTCATCGATCAAGCGTCAAGAGGTTCTTTACACAACTACGCTGTATGTGCCACTCATTAGTATTTTGGCACCTGTTTCATCCTGATAACCCACTTTCAAAAATTCCTGGTTCGTTTCCATATGGAGCCATTTTCAAGCATGGAAAGGGAGTCAAGCCATTCAATTATTAGGAATTATTTACCAGTCATTCTAGAGTTGGATTACAACATCGGTAACAGTATCTGAAACCCTCCGCTCCTGTACTTTTTCAAATTATTATTATACAGCTCGCCGATGAGGCCGAGACATTATAAGTACTTACCTCATTGAAAGAACTGCTGATGCTAGTGTGGGTATATATGTAGGCGTGTTTTGTAGGTCACATTATTTAAAATTTCCTCTGGCTCTCCACTGCTCTGGATGGACGTCTTTTTCTTCCAAAAGTATTATACTTCCTTCAGAACATTGCTTCCTTGTGTTGATTATTTTGCATCCAATCTACTGTCAATAATTTCCAGATGACGAAGAATATAGAGTTCAGATCACAGACAGGGGCAGATTGGATGACGTGTCTACCAAGCCGGCATCTGACGCTCCCAAATAGTAAGACTCATTCAGTCATTGTACCTCGGGACTGTTCGCAATTTAATTGTGGGCAGAATTACGTAAGAATTCGATTGGCTGATCAGTTTGGGTGTAGTCACCGGCAAATTTAGTTCGTTTAAGACTGCTTCAGGCAAGTATCACACACCATAGCTTCAAAGGTAATCTGAATTCTCTTTCTGCTGCAGTTAGCTGTCGTTCGGCTCTCCTTTGTACGCGCTTTATGATGGTTGTGTCTCTGAGTGTTTTTTCCTTAGTCTATGCACCACACAGAAGCGCCCGTATAATAAACAGATACAGATGCGAACGGATACCTTGCTATCGACTTCACAGTCGTGACGATTTTAAAATACTGCTATCTCTGAGCTTAATTTAGACTTCTTGTCGTTTTGGGTACTTTTCGAAGCTCTTTGCTCTTCACTTTTATTGGTGAGCTCTTGGCATATAATGCCTTCGTCAGACCTCAGTTACTTACAATATATTGCTGCATACAATCAGTTACTATCAGTTACAATACAAAACACATCGAATCATACCAAGTCAACCCGGAAATATTGAGGGAAAAAAGGGGAATGGACCTGTCGGCGGGGATCTTGAAGGGAAAATGGACGCCGCTCTTGAACTGAGGCGACTAATTGTTATCACGTAATCAGTCTCAATGGGTCACGCATCTCCTCTTTCGCATTGATTTCCGGCTTGATGCGGTATATTTCCCGTGCCTCCATGATTTTCCTTTCCAGTGGCCGTACCAAATATCTATGCAAAACCCTCACGAAAACAAGCCCAGTTCTTGATTTTAAGGAGCTATCTTGTGGAGCTCATCAAGTTGATTCGAAGCCCTCACTTTTCCACAGTTACAGACGCAGTTCACAACAAAAAGTGATTCCTAAGACTTCCATTTGGATGTCTCACAGGGTTTAGCGAGTCATGGACAAAACTTCGGCCTCGGACGGGGCCCCATACCTGTGCATTTCAGGCATCGTTCTCCTATCCATCAAAATGATCTGTGGTCCACGAGAATAGAAATAAAAGTTCAGATAGGTAGCTCAAGAATTGCCTTCATAGTGCACCACACACCGAAGTGGCTGTTCTCAAAGGACCTTGTAGAGACTGCATCACTCACACGGAGCAAGTATGCTGAGAATTCAAATAGTTAATTAGGGAGCATAGCAATAGGTCACGTAACAAAGAAGAGAACAATAACAGCAGTAGAACAACAAAGTAGAAACAGCAGTAGAGAGTAATGAGAACAAAATCAAAAATATGAAGCCTGCACCAGCTCGTCCCGCAGGGGCCTGAGAGAAGGGCGATGTGTCCTGACTTACAACCATCTGGGCTAATGGACAAACTCGGCAGCTTTCTGCTGAAGGCCATAAAATCGCTCAAAATTTTGCGCACCTGGGGCGAAGCTTTTTCCTCAATCACCCTTTACTAGACTTGGGCTGCGCTCTTTTTCTACGAAAAATAGAGAACAAAAAATTTTCTCTCGAAATGCTTTCCAGTATTTTTTGGATGTGGGGACGATTAGATATATTAAGGCTAACATTTCAAAGGTGGAAACGTTCAACAACGTTTTGGACTCGCTCAAAAAAGCAAAAGAGACACGCATCAGGTACCCGAACATATGCCTCTCTAGTGAGTCCCGCTATCTCGTAAGTGCGCAACAGCAGCATGATGAAGTAACTATTCGGTTCACTCGTATGTACAACACAAAGAATAACCAAATTATATTTCGTGACTTTGTATCCACAGTCGTTCGGCAGTTTTAGGGGTATACTTAAGGCAAGCGTTTGGAAGACTTGCGGCGGTATACATCTCGGCTTGAGTAGCCCCTGCAACTCAGTATCATTCTTTTGTCAACTGAATCATTATTGAATGTATGAGTTAAAAAGTTGTTACATTTTGAAATGTAAGAAATTAAACGAACTAGACGAAAAAATCTCTGTGTGGAAATAAAATATGAACATTGAAGGTGTGAAAGTCAGAGCAGTTATGAATGAAAAAAATTCGTAATACAGATTGTGAAAAACTCCATTCTTCCACCTGCCTGGAGGCAAACTGATCGGCAGAAGACCAGCGTTCCCACATTTTTTTACATACTGCAAAAAAGATGTCAGATATATCACTGAGAAGTCTATATATTTTGGAGCATATTGATGATGACACGATGTCGAGTTCTTCTCCGACAGAAAATCCAGAAGCCAGCAGTTGACCAATTGAGAGAGCTAACCCTCCACCCTCCTTCCCTCCTCGGACGAGTGAGTGGAGGTCTA